GCCTCGATCGTGTGGCCGAGCCACAGCCACAGGGCGCCGCTGGCGAGCGTGCACGGGATGACCCAGGCCTTCCGGCTGAAGTAAGAGTCCACCAGAGGCGCGAAGAGCGCCTTGAGCGCAAATGGCCACGCTCCGAGACTGAGCACGCCGATGCGGGCGTCGGAGACGCTCGTGGCAAACAGGGTGGGGAGAGTACCGATGATCAGAGCAAACGGCACGCCCTGGACTGCGTACAGCGCCGTGAGGAGGCACAGCTTGCCGGTCGGGTTCTCGAGCTGGCCGCCTTCGAGTGTGGGCGGCGGAGCATGATGCAGCGAGGGCGCGACAGGCGCCATGAGAGAATCACGGAAAGCAGTGTTGGGTGGCGGCGGAGGAGCTTCCCAGAAGGGCGCGAGGCGCCGGCGGCGGCGTTCTCCGAAAGGGACAATGGCGGCGGCGGCGGCCGGGGCGGTGGCGGTGGCGGTGGCGGTGGCGCTACACCGACGCTCGGGAGGACCTTTTTTCTTTTCTCCGGGCGTCCGCGCCCTTGTCGTTCCGGTGTGCTGTGAGAGAGGCTTGTATTTTAAGAATTCTTTTCTCCGTCCACTTTCCCGCCCATGCCTCGTAGCTCTGCGGACGGGCCCCTCCACCCTTCACGTACTGGTCCCCAAAAAAGTCAGCAGAGTCCTCCTACGGGAATGTACGTAAGAGCTACATACACTGAGAGAGAGAGTACACTGAAAAAGCTGTCATGGGATCGCTTAAATAAAGAAAGAAAGAAGACAGACAAACCCAAAAGATGGAGGAGGGAGGAGGACAGGGTGAGGGCCCAACTTCAGAATCGTCCTCTTTGGGTTACAGTAGGGACGATCGCGAAGGACCCCCCCCCCCCCCCCCGTGTGTGTGTGTGTGTGTGTGTGTGTGTGTGTGTGTGTGTGAAAGCGCCCATCGCAACTGCCATGTCGGCGGGTTGTCGGCTGGTGCTCTCGCCTCGCTGGCGGCGCGATCTAGTGCCGCGGCTCCCAGCCCTTCTACTGTGGGACCGCGGCGGCTCGCCGGCGGTTCTGAACAATGGGATCGGTCCGGGTTCATCCCGGCGTGCAGCCGGTGCCGCTTCTTCGCCGAAAATTTGCTCAACCTGTTTGTCGACAAAGTTCTGCCCGAGGCCGAGCTCCTTGGTCCTGCTGCTCGACTGCGCGGCGGAACCGGCCCCTCGAGGCTGAGATGTGAGGCGCCCGCTTTTCCCGATCATTTCGTCCGTCCAATCGAAGGAAGCGCCGGATCGCCCATGTTATGGAGTTAGCCAAACTTGCCGACGTTCTTCGTCCCACGTTCCGTGTTTTTGCACGGTATTCGGATTTTCGCTATTTGGTCGTGTGGGTGTGTATTCCGGGATTAGTCAAAATGGTACCGCGTCGGCGACGCGGGCGCCTTGCGGGCAGAGCCCTTAGCCACCCTTTATCTTGCGCGGTCAAAACAGAAAACGAGGGATGCGGGAGGAGGACAGGGTCCACACCTGCACGAGCAGGATTTTGGAAAGACGACCAGGGGCACAGAGGTGGGGCTCTCCTGCTCACAGGCTCGCAAAAAGAAAGAAAGAATAACAGCCCCACAGGCTAAAAAAAGAAAGAAAAGAGACAACCCGAGGGAGGGATGGGAGGACGGCACGCCGCCACCACGAGAGGCTCAGTTAGGTTAGTCAGGTAGAAAGGTGAAGAACAGCCAGGCTCGGACTGGACACCAACGCGGTATGGGTGGACGCTAGAGAGATGATGACGACACGCACGACGGCACGAGCGACACACAGACACAAACAGTGTTGAGTATATGAGCGACCCACCGCGAGGGTTGCTCCGACTCTGGCCTTTTCTGGGTCACGTTACGTAGCCACACCTCGCCTCCTTGGTGGCTGCGAGTGGCTGCCAGTTCGACTCTGGGGAGGATCGAACCATCAACATGGTACCTCCGGTGAGATCTCCCAGGTCGACGGCGGTCTGCGAAGATTTGAGTCCCTTCGTGTGTGAGCTACGAAAAAGATCGAAAATAGTGCCCAAGGTAACCCGGGGGAACTCGCGTCCCGGAACCTCTGCCCTACCTCGAAACACGGCGGTATCGGATATACAGCAGCAACCTCGTGCTGTGTCGTGGGGGCGTGTTGAGTATATGAGCGACCCACCGCGAGGGTTGCTCCGACTCTGGCCTTTTCTGGGTCACGTAGCCACACCTCGCTTCCTTGGTGCGAGTGGCTGCCAGTTCGACTCTCTCTGGGGAGGATCGAACCATTAACAAACAGGCTCACAAGACACACAGCCTTCTGGCTATAAATAAATAAATACAACGGACATCCCAAGCTAGGGCTGGGTCGAGGACAGACACGTCCCCACCTTTGCAGGATTTTGAGCCTTCTGGCTGCCACAGAGGTTGCTTCGCAAAAGAAAGAAATAAAACAGACAACCCAAGGGAGGGGATTTTAAGGTTGCTTTGTAAAGAAAGAAAGAAAGAAAACAGACAACCCAAGGGAGGGATGGGAGGACGGCACGCCTGTTTCGTGGGTTTCTCTTCCTGTGTAACATGCGAGGGGCTGAGCTGTAAAGGTTTGGACCATCCGCGTGTTATCAAAGCGAGAAGACGCACACACTGCGGAAATTCGCACTCACCCCCCACTGTCGCCAGACTGTGAGAGGCTATAGGGGAGGAGGGTGGGAGACCATAGCTCCCGCGTTCCCGTCGGGCTCCAAAGCAGGCATAGCACAAGCCGCCGCCAGGCGCGCTTGCGAAACACCGACGGCAAACGTAAATTCGTAGGCGCCCGACGGAATTAATCCCGATTAGGCGCCCGCGACACACTGAATACCCCGGGCGGGCCTCCGCTCCGGGGCTGCTCTATCTCCATTGTCTGCACGCAACCATGGTTATGCCCTTCACACCCCCAGCCCTCGTGTCACCGTTGTCCAACACCTTTTGGGTGTCACACTGCAGTAACATGCGAGGGGCTGAGCTGTAAAGGTTTGGACCATCCGCGTGTTATCAAAGCGAGAAGACGCACACACTGCGGAAATTCGCACTCACCAAGCTGCAGAGGAAGACGCCCAAGCTGAAAGCAAGTCCCAACGTTGCACGCAAACTTGGGACGCCCCTCGAACCTCGGTGACACGAAGAACCACTATTCCATCGCATTGATGGCAAAGTCCGAGACCTCCTCGAGGCCCGGCATGGAGTCGGAGTCGGAGGCGCCTGCCTCGCCGTCGTCGTCATAAGAGAGGTAGTCGGGGAGAGCGTCGCCGTCCGCCTCGGCGCGCGACGACTCATCCCACTCGCGCCACGCATCGGCCCGGCTGAGCGCGGAGCGGCCGTCTGGCCCCACGTAGCCGCCCCCCTGGGAGAGGCGCCAGCCGTCGGGGAGGAGGTTGGCCTCGCTGGCGGCCTCGGCCTCCGCGATGGACGTGTGGACGTCGCCAGCCTCGTCGCCCCCCTCAGGCACCACGTTCGCTGGGCCCTCGACCCGCCCGTCGACCGCCGCGACCGCGCCGCTTGCTGTGGCAGCGGCCGAGCCACCACCCTGCAGCGCCTCGCGTGTAAGCCGCACCGCAGGCGGGCCGCGCTCGGCAGGGGCGGAGGCGCTGCGCGCCGCGGGCTGGGCGCCCTCGGCGGCGCCGCCCCCTTCGGCCCGAAGGACGCCGCTCACCGCGGCTGGGATCTGAGCAACGAGACCCATCGGGAAACGCGAGTAGCGCTTGTGGGCATCGCTCTTCCATAAGCCATGCGCCACCGTCACGTCCTCGCCCAACACCCGCTTCGAGTTGTTGTAGCCCTCGACCCGCAGGCCGTGGAGCCCGCCCTCCTCGCCCGCCGCGACACCGACAGCGCGTTGAGCCGCCTTGAACTGGTCCATGGCGGGCGCGTAGCGGAGGGGGCGTCGGCGGCCATCCACCGTCTCGAGGAAGAAAGGCTCGTCTGGGTCGCGACGGGCGTTGAGGAGTGGTCACAATGAGCGCGGGCAGGACGAACTCGAGAATCGCCCTGGGGTACTTGGAGGGGCTGGTGGCGGTGAGAGCTGCGCTCATGACGCAGCCGGAGGCCCCGCCAACCGTAATGGGTAGGCTGAGTTGGTCTGACTCCATGGTGAGGTTGTTGCCAACTAGCCCCGGAAAGCCTTGCATCAACACGAGGCAAAGGGCACCGACTGCGGGCACCGAGGCAAAGCCTTGGCCCCACGAAGGCCAGCCCATGCCCCAGACCATAGCTCCCGCGTTCCCGTCGGGCTCCAAAGCAGGCATAGCACAAGCCGCCGCCAGGCGCGCTTGCGAAACACCGACGGCAAACGTAAATTCGTAGGCGCCCGACGGAATTAATCCCGATTAGGCGCCCGCGACACACTGAATACCCCGGGCGGGCCTCCGCTCCGGGGCTGCTCTATCTCCATTGTCTGCACGCAACCATGGTTATGCCCTTCACACCCCCAGCCCTCGTGTCACCGTTGTCCAACACCTTTTGGGTGTCACACTGCATTAACTCTTCCTGTTTTGTGAAATTCTCTTCCTCCATGGCCCCGCAGCACGCCTGCGCGCCTCTCTCCGCTCCCCTCGAAACCGACTTGCCTTGCCCCTCGCCCCGCCGCAGAACAAGCCCGACGACTTTGATGTGTGGCGTCTCCCCGATGACGACAGCGTGCAAAAGTGAGCCCTCCCGGCGCCCCGCGCAGTCGCACCGCCCGCGCTGCGACAGCGGCGCCGCCCGTGCGATCCCAGGGTGACGGTGCAAAAGGACACGATGGTGCCCAACGCGGTGACGCTGGTCATCGAGCGCGAGGATCACACCGTCGGCAACCTGCTGCGCATGTGTGTGGCCCGCCGCCGCGTTTCCCGCGCCGCCGGCGTTTGCGCTCTCAGCCGCGGGCGCGTGTGCGGCAGGGAGCTGCTGGAGGACAAGGAGGTACTCTTCAGCGGCTATCGCGTGCCCCACCCCCTCGAGCCGGCGATCCAGCTCAAGGTGCAGACGAAATCCGAGGACCCGGGACCTGTCAAGGCGGTGGACACCGCCATCGAGCGTTCGGTGGCCACGCTCGACAAAATCGGAGAGGCCTTTGCCAAGGCCAAGGCGCGCCACTGACGGCGGGCCTATATACGTACACACGCATGTTCTGCATTCGTCTCACTCCCACCTATTACTCTCGAGACCGTATTAGTCAGTGCTAGCTGCGCCGCCTGGGTGCGCGGTGTGCCGTCGCCCGTGCGTGTGCGAGTCTTTTCTACTCTCATCTGTGTGAGACAGTGCAGACCCGCCAAAACAGCACGAACTCCGTGGGAAAGACCGCGCGCGTCCGTCCGCTCCAAACGGCACCTCGTCTCTCGCGCTCTCACTCCTCCACCGTCTCGCTCTCCTGACTCCTCTCGTGAGTCGTGTGTGTGCGCAGTGTGCTCGCCACTGCTCGCTTTCGATGTGGTTCTTGTATGCCAATGCAGTCGCAAACCTTTTGTCGCAGCCGCCGACCTGGCAGGCGATCTGAGCGAGGAGCCGGAGGAGGAGGAGCGCGCGAGAGCATGGACCGAGACGTCGAGATTCGATCCGGCAGCCACTCGGCCACCGAAGGGCACGATTCCAGCTGTGCTGTTGGTACAGGTTGAGATGTGCAGAGCTGGCTCATAAAGCGGGTGTTGTTGAGGTGGTTGCTGCCAAGCATCGCAGACGACGAGATCGACACATCGTCAGCGTGCGCAGCGCTCTTGGGAGCCGCGTAGTCGGTGCCGCGCGAATGTTGAGCATTCGCGCACGCCAGCACCGCCACGACGACGAACGGCAGGGGACGCATGCGGCCCCGATTCTAACGGTTCACAGCGCGTACACACAAAAACAAAAGTAACACCCAACCGCACGAGCACAGACAGTCTGGAGAGACCGCAACGACATCAGAAGCCAGCGCTGGGTACCAGGAAGGCGAATCACTGACTTCACCCATGGATTGCTCCTTTGCCGCGCTGCGGCCGCGGGAGTACGTCGCGCACAAATTTGCCGCACCGCCACATCTCGACGGCAACCTGCGCGAGGCGGCCTGGGAGCACGTGCCGTGGACAAGCGATTTTGTTGACATCTCGACGCCGACTCTGCCGTGGCTTCACACCCGCGCCAAACTTGCGTGGGACGACCGCTTCCTGTACGTCGGCGCCGAGCTGGAGGATCCGCTCTGGGCGACGCTCCGGCGCCACGACGAGGTGATCTTCCACGACAACGATTTTGAGATTTTTGTGGACGCGAACGCCACAACGCACGGCTACAAGGAGTTCGAGATGAATGCCTACAACGCCACGTGGGACCTCATGCTCTCTCGCCCGTACGGCGACGGTGGCGGCGAGATCTCCTGCCGGGTCTCGCCCGCGCCCTGCTTCGACATGCAGCCACTTCGCGGCCATGCTGGCCTCGGCTGCATCTCGGCTGTAGCTCGGCGATGACACGGCTGTAGGCAGCCTCCGCTCGCCTCTGCGGTCCAGCTGAACGGCTCCCTCAACCAGCCGGCCGGCCCTCCGGACGGTGAGACACACACACACACACGCGCGCGCGCACACACACACACACACACACACACACACACACACACACTTTTAGTGCCACTGCCTCATGCCGCTCTCGCCGTTCTCGCCGTTCTCACCAACCGCCAGCCCCCGCCAGCCCGCCACCCTGCCTCGCGCCGCCCTCCCCAACACCTCCCACACATCCCCCGGGGTCCGTCTCGCGCAGGCGGCTGGTCGGTCGAAGTGGCTCTTCCCCTCGACGGCCTGATGGCGCACAACGCAGGCGCCGACACTGCGCCGCGCGAGCGTGTCGCTTATCCACGCCCACGGGTGAGAAGAGGCGCTCTGCACCGCAGGCGCCGACCAGCGGCCGCGCGACGGGGTCTTCTGGCGCATCAACTTCTCGCGCGTGCAGTGGGCCCTCAAGGTGGACCAGGCGACCGGGAGGTACGTCAAGGCGCCGGCGTGCCAGTCGTGCGCGCAGCCAGGCTCTCCCCTCCTCTCCCCCCTCCCTCCTCCCCGCCGCCTCCTCCCCCCTTCCCTTCACCACGCCCCCTCGCCCCCTCGCCCCCTCCCCACCTCTCTCCTCACCTCGCCTCCTCGTCTCCTCGCCTCTTCCTTACACACTACCGGCCGGCACCTCCGCGCTCTCGCCTCCCCTCCGCTGCTCCACGCGGCGGCGGCTTGGACGGGGTAGGCTCGGCGCACGAGGACAACTGGGTGTGGTCGCCTCAGGGCGAGGTTGCCATGCACGAGCCCGAGACGTGGGCGATC